CATCTTGTTCCTCCTCCTGCCGTTCGCACGAGAAACATACACTAAGATTAACAAAACATAACAAAGGATCAGCCAGGGGTAACGCGCGTGATTTCTAAGATCCTGCAAAACAGAAACTGAGGCCGACGGCCCCATGGGGAAAATTACAAGAATGTGATAAACTAACTGAGAGTATTGAGCGGTGTAACAGGAGAACCAAAGAGGTGGTGATGTCAATATGCCCTTGATTGGACCCTGCTGCTGTTTCTTGTGATGCATGTAAGGGAGAGTTAAAAAGCAATAAACGATTCTTAAGATTCTGGTTAAGCACATCAGGGTCCGTGAAATCATTCACCACATAAAATCTGTTCCTGGGTTATATAACATCAAGTCAGTCCAAAATTTTAGACACTCTATCTTATTTAACTGCCCCCTTTGCATTTTTTTCCCTCGCTGCTAACCAGCGGTGAATGTATTGGATCTTCAGATGCTTTACAGATTAAGGGGATTCTCTGGCTTGGGCTAGATCTGCAGTGACATCTCGTGGTCCCCTGCAAGGCGAGGTGCTGGCTGCCAGGCAGCACAGCCCCCCGACCCAAACCTCCCACTGATGCCCCTGTACCACAGCACTGACCAGCACAAATCTCCCAGGGGACTTACCTCCACCTAGGGTGGCTGAATGCCCAAGTAGGGAAACAAACACACACCTCCTCCCGCGACATCCCTTCCCCTTCACCTGCAGCACCAGGGGAAACTTCCGAAATCATCCTTTTATGCATGAAGATAAACAAATCATGAAAATCAGCACAGCCTGTGGATGGACCGTGCTTGCCTGCAAAGCCTGGGTGCTTTTAACTCGAGACAAGGAGAGGAATTAATCTGCCTCCTCCCACGTTTGTGCCTGTCTGAGACTCACATGTGAGCAGCATGCTTTGCTCTTCGCCACTTCTTTTGTTATGACTCTCACCGATGATTTCCCACTGAAAACCAACACGCCTGCTGTTGGCCTCCTAGTACAGGAAATTAAATCTGACATTTCAGTGTTATCTGATTTCCCATCCCTGTATAATTTCACCACCTACTCATTTGTTTTCCTCACACATAAGTGCATTTCGAGAAAATACAATCCTTGGAAGAATATTTAGTCAGAGAAAGGTTGTAATCAGCTTGGATAGAAATCAGACAATTAATTTGCTCAAAAAAAGGGGGAAGGGAGGAGGAAATGAAACGAAATAATTTCTTTCCTGTGAACATAGGGCAGCAAAAAATTTTAAGGCTAAAACTATAGCATGAGAAGGAAAATAGTTGAAAATCTTCACAGGAAACACTGCTCCTGAGCTATTACACTAAAAATAACATGAAAGCCAAAGTAAAAGATCTAATTCATTAAACATCTTCTGTGCTCATAAAAAAAAAAAAAAAAAAAAAAGAAAAAAAGAGTTACAGGGAAAGACTCACAAACTTTTCCCAGGGCAAAATAACTAGATGTCCCATGTAAACCATCAGATATATCAACATTTAGGGTCAGACTGGCAGTAACTGAGTCGTGCCAGGAGAACTTGCAGAATGTAGACCCCTAAAACCAAAACTGGGATTTGAAAAGCTCCTCCACACTGTCTAATCCATCACAACACTCAGTCCTGGGATAGAGAAGTGTGGTGCACCCGTGAGAGGCCAGGGCACCGAGCTTAGGGATTATCCCAACGGCCCTTCCCCTCGGGCACCTTCCTCCGGCCCTTTCACTGGACCTGGCTCATAGCGCAGAGGAGCACCAGTCACAGGCCAGCACCTCGCTCTGCCAGGGGCTCTGCAGGCAGATGGTCCTGGTGAAGACAAGGAAAGCTCATAATTATGGTATGCAGATGTGCAGATGCTGGTCTCCATCTCATACACCCCTCCAGTGAGTCAGCTCAAGTTTAACAAGAGCACATGATCACAAGTGTCAGGACTAGCACTTAGATTTCTTTTTCTTGACTATGTGTAGCTATTCTAACTTCCTTATAGGCTTTTATGCAAGTTTCACAGCAGTTTACAGTCCAAGACATTACACATATATAGTCAGGAAACCTTAACATACGTTCCAATTCATTTCAAGTTACTAAATAAAGTCAAAGCTGATCTTTCTCCCATTCCTTTGGCACCTCTTGAGAGCTGGATAGCGTGATGAGTCCTCTACTCCAATAATTTTACAGTTCATGTTACATTCACAGAAAAAAAGAGAAAGCCTGGCTGGAGAGAATGTCAGGAGATTGTCCAGGGCAGTCGCCTGCCCCAAGGCAGGATTCATCTCTGGCTAACACATTGTCATCAGCTACGTGCCCGATGATTGCCATGCGCATCCCAAGAGACCCCCTCCATGATCTCTTACAGTGTTCCACAATCTTTCCTGTTACACAGTTCCTCCCTAGTGACTAATCGAAATATTCTTTGATTCAATAAGCCTATTATTTCTTGTTCTAGCCACCATGAACGTAACAGACACTGAAAAGATGAAAGGAATAAATTGTTCTCTTTGTGTTTGGAGACTTGTATATCCTTTGAGTATTTTGTAAGCAAACCAACTCAAGCTCCTTCAATCTTCTTCTTATACTTCTCATTCTCATGTACTTATGTTCTCATGTTTTCTAGATTTCTGTTAAATCTCATTGCTCTTCTCTGAACAGTCTCCAGTTTTTCTTAACAAGTGTGACATATAAAACTAGACTTGATATTTCAGCTGATGCCTCTCCAGAGCTGAACAGAAAGAGGTATTTTATGTTATATGGATGATACAGTCTTTATACATCTCCATATTTCTGTTCATTTTGCAGCATCACTATGTTGTTAGAATGGGTCACAAAATGAATGCCAGCCAACTACCCAAACTTTTTCTGCCAAGCTGACCTTTAATTCCTCTCCTTCCTGTTTGCAAAATTTGTCAGTTCTGTCCAATTTCTCAAGATGATTTTGAATCATAATTCCACCCTTCAACATGCTTGCAACCTCATGTGCCCCAACATACAATACAACACTGTCTCTTTTTTCCCTGCTATCAGCCAACTACCCAAACTTTTTCTGCCAAGCTGACCTTTAATTCCTCTCCTTCCTGTTTGCAAAATTTGTCAGTTCTGTCCAATTTCTCAAGATGATTTTGAATCATAATTCCACCCTTCAACATGCTTGCAACCTCATGTGCCTCAACATACAACACTGTCTCTTTTTCCCCTGCTATGTATCCTGCCTGAAATAGATCACAACGCAATCACAAAATCTCTCTCCTGCATATGTATCCTGCAATCCAGCAATCACTGCTTATGCTGGGTTTTTTTGCTGTACCCCTCCAAAAAAAGAACAACAAAGACACAAAGTTAATTGCTGGTTTGTTTGCTTTTTTAAAAAACACAGTATTTTTACTGTAAGCACTGGTAAGAAAACATAAAACAATGACACAGTAAACCATCTTCCCCACGGGGACATGTATAGGCACCTACAGCATGTTTGAAAAGTGTGTGCACTGTGAAAGTAATCTCTACACATATAAAGAGATTTTACAGTTTTAAAACTGATTTGTAATTATATTTAAGACAGTGCTATTAATGTTTGCTAAGGAGAGCTGAATTATAACACTAAGAGGAAGAGAGAATAGGAAGAACTGCCCAACGCTTTACGCACAATTCTTTTCCTCTCTGACTTGTTTTTCATTTTTACATTAGGAGGAGCAGGATTTGAACCCATGTTGGAAACAGTTTTATATTTAAGTCAATGAAAGTTAATGGTTATTTCACACTGTTTAGCATAGTAATTCCTCTTCTTTCACTTTTTAGATTAGACTATAAAACTCTGGTCTGCTTACTTCAGAGTCCCATAGCTGAGCAATGCAGCACCTCGGGACTGGATTCAGTGCACTAAAGTGTTGATTCCTACTATCTTGACTCTAAAAAGTGTTAAGGGATGAATTTGACATTCACAGTGATAAAATTGTCATAAGCTTTGGTAAAGATGTTAAAGTGAGAAAAAAGGGTTGTTCAGCACCTTGATTTCTCATTAGATCAGAGCAAAGATGAAATTAAAACCAATTCAAAACATTAATAAAAATTTACATTAAAATTCAGCCTATAACAAATATTCTTAGTTCAAGTCCTTCTGTCATCAGAAAAGGTTATTTATGTGATAGCAAATATAAGCCTCACATTTTAAGGCAATTTTTCCACCTTTACCACTTAAACTTTGGCTCCATTTTAAGCAACCAGCAAGCTGGGGTAAACTTGTGCAATAAACTCACTCCATTCAGCCATGCTGAAGTCACACCAGTGCTAGTTCTGCTCTCTGTCACACCACGGTAAATACCACCACCTCTCGCACTGGCATAAATTCTTTACTCTGTCAGAGGGAAGAGACAGACAACTGCCCAACTGTCAGGAGGTTCACGGGGTCCTGCAAGGTATCCACAGGAAAATGATACACTAACTTGGACCAGGAATTGCTCTGCCTTTGTGGACGTCAATAGGAACGGAAAAGTTCCTAGTGACTTAAAGATGTTTGTCCCATACAGGAATATCTGTAAACATAATAATAAAAACTCATAGAAGATATCTTGTGCAAAGAAAGGGGAAAAAAGAGCTCATATGGAGCAAAATAGAAAATCTAGGAGAGCAGTGGGAACGGCAGAGCAAGTTTAGCAATGGAAATGTGCCTCAAAAGGATGCAATACCTGAAAGCAAGTGAAAAATCTTTGAAAGAGGCCTTTCAGAGAGTTATAGTTAGTTAAACACGGAAGCATTTTTGGTCCAAGGAGACGCACATGAATCCTAAATACAAAGTCCTCTCACAGTGACATGACTAGTTAGGATTCTGTGTAAAAATATAACTTTCGACCATGGAGCTCCTTATGCCATGGCTATTTTCACTTGGACACAGAAATTAATATTTGGCAGCTCTGAAAATACTTTTGCTTCATGTGCTTTTGAAAGAATAAAGTTAGAAAGAGTGAAAAGTATGAAATTTGGTGCCCAGCAAACAGTCCAGAAGAGAGAAACTCTTTTAGACTCTGAAAACTACATTTTTACGTTATTTCACTAGCTGTTGTGTGCAAAGGAGTCAGTTCATTACAGAGCCACAAATCCTTTCAGTGACTAGAAATAACTGGTGACCTGAAAAAAATCCACAATCCATACAACCCAACATCGAGCTGAGTTGCAATTGTTTTGTGAGCTGAAGGAATAACTTCACTTAAAACCTTGAAGCTCTTGATGACATAAGTCGGTCCCTCCCATCACTGGTGAGGAAGAACCTTTCCTCCTATACTAAGAATACAGTGCTTCAGAAGTACTGCTCTTCATCTCCTCCATTCATGAGCAATGACCACTTGTCCCCTTCCTCCTCAACAAAACCATTACGTCTCGGCAGCTTCTCTGAAGTCAAGGAAGAGAGAGACACTTGGCTAATCTGATCCCAAGGAGCTGGACTGGATGGATCCCTCCTCCTGTCATCCATTCCAATATGAACACTGATTTGGGAAGGAGTAAGTGGCTTCATGCGGCCTTGAGCTTGTGCTTCATAACTTTCTGTGTCTGGCTTCTTATAACTAAGAAGAGAAAGAGAAAAGATGTTTAGTACCAAGAGGTCAATGTGTAGAAGCGTCTTCAGCATTAGAACAAATCAGAAACTTCTGATAACCTAAATGTTACCTGCACTTCAGACACCATGTTAATGGCTAAAAGTACTGGTCACAAAACATTAAGACATTTCAATAGTAAAAGAGAGTGACTCCCAAACTGAGGTTCTTGAAGAAAAATTATGAGTTTGTTAAATTATGAAAGGGTTCGTGGTAGACAATTGCAGGGGAATGGACTTGATGACCCCAAAATCACTTTCTGATTCAATGGTCACAAAAAGCCTACCAATGGCAAGTATGTATGGTCTTCTTCACGTATATCTATTATCACGTTATTTGGAATCTGAAGTCCTGTTCAGCTGATGTGAAGCTTCAAGAAAGATCGTTGTCCGACAGAGTACACCGTAATACAGCTTCCATAAGTCTGAAGCTAAATATGTTTTGGGGGTTCTCAATATCTAACTACGATAGTGTCCAATACTTAATGTAATCAGCACAAGATCAAAAGAATTGGAGAATAAAGGAATCCCTTTATAGATATTTCTCATCCTTTGGATAACTACACACAGAAAGTTTTTAGGATGAGAATCCTGTAGTGCTAGGGCTGTTTTGCAAACAGACATGAACACATGTGTAGTTTTTATTCTAGACTGTGGTCTGATTGAGCATTTGCAGGATCAGAAACATGATGCAGTAACAGATTTCCTATATTAGTTTATACTATAATGTACTATACTATATGCTACAGAAGACCCCAGCTACAGTAGAAATATGTGAAGGTTTGGACTAATTTCAGACACCGTAAAAAGTCTTATTTTAGAAAGATGTTTGCTCATAATGCTGTTAAAAACAGGTCCACTGTAACTGCACCCAAAAAGGGCACCCAAAAAAGGTATCACAAAAAAAATAATAGAATTTGAAAAATGTTATAGTTCAGAAATTGGTTCACTTCCAAAAAAAAAAAAATAGGTAAAG